CACCAGTAGGGTAAGGTGTCTTGCCGAAGGACACAACAACCAGGACAGAGAGAGCAGGGGGATTGAACCAGCAACCTTCCAGTTACAGATGAGCTTCCCAATCCCCTGAGCCACAGTCACCCCAAGATGGATGCAGCTATTGTTTCACAGCCACAGACATCTGAGCATCATTCAGAGGTCTTTTCCCTCTTACCCTAATGCTTTGCTTTCTTTTAACTTGTAGACCTTTTTTGAAATAAATAATAAAGCAAATCTTAAATAAATATTTATCAGAAAAGTAATTTTAATTTGCTTCTAAATACTTTACTACAGTATGAGACGGATTGTTGTGAAGCTACCAAAACTAAACCTACGCTTTGACACCTCCCTGCTCGGCTGCGTATGCAGCGACTGGAGGCGGGGACCGCGGGTGAAAGTTCACCGGCATGGCGCTGACGTATCAGGTGAACGCTGTGGGAAAGCTGGACACCACGAGCAGTTTGAATACAAAACAAAACGCCAGCATGGCCAGTGAGAAAGTTTCAGTCCTGTGCGGAGAGGAGGACGAAGCTCTGGAATACGACGACGACGAGTACGACCTGGAGGCGTTTTCTGATGCCGACCTGAGCTGTGAGGACAGAGGTATGGCATTTTTGCAACTTCACTGCTCTGGAAGGTCACACACTAGGAAAACGGGCTGTTTTCTCTACAATCGTGGGCGTAACTAGCGAAGTTGTGTACAGCATAATAATGTCAACTGTGCACACCTACAGAAGTGCCAGAGGTACTGGCGTTTATCGACAGCGCTTCACTTGTTCCACATGTTGTCACGTTAGATTAAATACAATTAAATAGATGATTTGTAATAACACCGCATGGAGACAAAGTTTCAAAATTCTTGCAAATTAACAAATTATATGGAGAAATCTAAAAAAATTATTGCAAATGATTAAAAAACAATATAAGAACAATATAACAATATAAGGTGTACAAAATATTCACAACTTTTGCTCAAGTATAACTACTTTTGCAGCCAAGTAGAAGTAGAAAGACTTTACAAAGAAACAAAGGAAAAACAAGAAACCTTCAATTTAAAGATAATTCTAAATGAAATAGAAACAGCTCTGCACTAGCCTAAACCTGTTAATGAGCGCTCCTAACAATAGGCTACTATGGTCCACTCTCCATCATGACCTGGCACACTAGTCCCTGACTAAATATCCAGTGGCTCCTCCCACTCCTT